AGTAGTGCTATTCCCAAACCCACCGAAATCAATACAATTGCCACAACCAACCTTTTTGCCAAACCAAGCCTACAAACCGCTGACCCAGCCCGAGCTCAAGGTAGAACTTTCACCCCTCTCTATATGAGCCAGACTAGCGCACTAAAAATCTTGATGGAAAGAGGGTATCTCAAACCCCTCGATCCTCAACCTCTGCCTAACCCACTCCCAACCAGACATAACCCTTCCAAGTACTGTGTGTACCATCAGCAGCGCGGTCATGGCACCGACCGTTGCTACCGCCTGCGTCATGAGGTCCAAAATCTCATCGACAACTGAACGATAGCTCCACCTTCAGACCCTAATGACCAAACATCTCCTGCCCACCTCAATCTCATCCATATACTACCATCCACCTTCAACCCCAGCATATACATCACCCCGGCCCATCTACGCAAGCCTGAGGTGTTCATTCCAGAAAGTATGGACTTATGCATGATGGAAGCACCTGGACCCCAATCATCTCAAACCCGTGAGCCCACTACTTCTGAGCTGAAGAGAATGATCGAAGATCTTCAGAGAACTGTGACAAATCTGGCCTCCGAGACATTGGCTCCCTCATCGACCACATCACATACCGGGAATTTCATGACAAAAGGCTCCCCAATCTTGGGACGGGCTGCATTTGAAGAAGGTCGATCCCTTGGCAAAGTGGGGGCGAGTGGTAAGAACAGGGTAGGGACAGGAATTGGTCCCCATGAACACCTTCAACGGGCTGTTGAGGCTTTGAAGACCGAAGGACTAAACAAACAGCAAGTGCTTGCAGTGGTTGCAAAAACTGTGGATGATACTTTTGCCACTCAAGTTGGGGGTAGTCTGAATCAAGGGGCAAGCCGAGACAAGAGATGTTGTACCAGAAACACCCTTTTCAGCTCCAATCCTACACTCGGAAAAGATCATCAAAAGTCAGCACCTACCGACCCTTTCGCTGGTACATCTAACACAACCAGCTCACAACCTGCCAAATACCCACCTCGGGGCCAGAGGGTGTTCACCCCACTAGACATGTCTCTGTCAACGGCCCTGGGGGTCCTGATCGGAAAGGGGCATCTGAAGCCCCTGGAGCCGCGGCCATTACTGAATAAACTTCCTCTCTCCCACAACCCGGCAAAGTACTGTGTCTTTCATCAACAAGCTGGCCATGACACTGACATGTGTCTTCGTCTTCACCATGAAATACAAGATCTGATTGATAAAAAGGTCATCTTCACGTCAGGTCCTGCAAAGTCTATCGGCACTGGATCGGTGAACTTGGGGGATAATATGACCATGTGATCGGGGGATGAACCGTCTGCGGATGGCGTTCAGTTTACTCCAGATAAGGTGGATGGCATGCACTGTTTTGAGCACATTTACGAATGTTGTTAATTTGTACTTTCTGACTTGGGTAATGGGTTAGTCTTGTTGTTTTGTACAGAGTCAGTCTTTTCTTACTGAGTCAGTTAGGTCTGTCTTGTTGTACTGAGTCAGTCCTATTTTGTTGGAGTCGGGTGATTTCGGGGGTGTTAGCTCGGACATCACTTGCTTGTTTTGTGTTTGTCTTTTCGTTTTCTTTTGAGTCTATTTTTGCCTTGGAGCCAGTAATGCCAACAGATTTGAATGAACAACAGTGATTTTCACATTCTTGTGTTCGCTTCTGCCTTATGCCAGTTGTGCCAGAAGTTCTGAATGAAATGGAAGTGCTTTTCGCCTACTTTTCTGTGCCTCGAACTCATTGCATTGACCTAAGTTTTTCAAAACTTTTTGAACATTGTGATGAAAACGAAGAGGAAGGAATTCCTGGGGATTTGCAAAATTTGATCAACTGAGAGAAAGAGAGGCGTGCTAAGCCCTTAATGAATGAAATCATGTTTGTTAATGAGAGTTCCGAGAAGGATCCCGGCTTGATCCAGATTGGTTCTACATTGTCTTCCGCGCGAGCGATTAGTTGTTTTCTTAAAAGATTTTAAAAAATGTTTTGCGCAGTCCTGCGAAGACCTGTATGGAATCGCTCTTGAGATTGTACAACTTGGGATTGCTCTCAGCCTCGAGACTGGACCCCCCTTTGCTTTCAAACCTTGAACCTTAACTCAGAATGTTCAACGGTCAACCGCAATGTGAGGCCTGTGTGGCCAGATTTGAAGCAGCCCTCGACCTAGAGGCAGAAAAATGTCAGATGTGCTCGAAGAGTCGAAGATGGATCATCTTGCAAATCAATGAAGACTGGCAAGAATGCCAAATCCCATAAGGATAGAAAGGAGAAAGTTTGTGCTGAAGGACAACTGAGTTCCTATCCACAACACTAGGGGCAAATTCAGTCCCCAGTGGATGACTTCTACATCATCAGTGAACATCAGCCATTCTTCTGGATTTAGATGACTTCAGGATCTCAAAACCATTTGACATGGACAAAGCTACACTTTTACCCTTGAGAGGCTCGCTGGGCCGAAAACCCGGAAGGGCGACCCAGACAAAAGTTAAAGCAAGAAAAAAAAAGAGAAAAGAAAAAAAAATACAAAGAATGAAAAAGAAAAGATGAAAAAAACATGTAAAGAAATGAAAAGAATTAAAAAGAAAAGAAAAACATAGCTCGCAAGGTCGAAAACCCAGAAGGGCGGCCTTGGCAAAAGTTAGAGCGTAAAAAGTGATAGGTTAATACCCGAGTGTACCTTAACCCCCTGAACTACGTAAGGCTTGATTCCCATGTTTGGGATACGTAGGCAACTTCATTCTGAAGTCCAGCCACAAACACTTCCAAATTGATTGTGTCCATGAAATGGTTTTGATCATCTTAGCCTTCTTTGTATCCGAGAGTTCGGTTGTGATCGTCACTCTGAGGACTAACTACAATGCATTGTGGTGCCATTCAAACAAGGGGCAACTTTCTGTTGCCATTCAATGCGCTGCGGTGCCATTCAAACAAGGGGCAACTTTTCGTTGCCATGCAGTGTCCTTCAAACAAGGGGCAGTTTTCCTTTCGATCTGAGGTTGTGCATCTCAAGAGTAAGTTCTATGCTCGTTGAGCAGTGGCTGTTTGCCAAAAATGGTTTTTGAGAATTTTTACTGAGGTTGACTGATTCTCTTGAAAATTATCCCATTTTTCCAAAATTGGACCATTTCTTGGACCTAAAAAGGAAAATTTTCAGTGCTTATAGCCTGACTTGCATGATTTTAAATCAGAAAATTGAACAAACATGTTAATCTAACTCTCATTTTGGTCAAAATTGTTTTAGTAGAAAGTCAAAAAACAAAAAATGGTCAAAATGATGAACTAGGGGCACAGTTGAGTCAAGTGTCCTGTCTTTTTCCCGTTGTCAATGCATTTGCCAGAAAGGGCACCATACTTGCCAAGAAGGGCAATCTACCTGCCAGAAAGGGGCGCAACTGAAGCTAACAATAAAGGGCCGAAAAGCTCTCTCATCCTCTAAGCAGCGAGGTATCATATCAAGTGCGAAGTACGAACTGGAATGGATCAAGATATTCCACTTCCCCATCTGGACAGATCCGATCACGTCCAAACTCCCCAGTAGAGTATCGTCAACCAATGTCAGCTGCAGATTTGCTACATACCCAGTCTTAACGCAACCCCTCTGTGGGAGGAACTCACTGGCTGTGAGCGAAAGAGAGAGAATCTAGTAGCATGCTAGGGGCAAGAGCCCACAACTTCATGCTTACCCATCAACCACCCAGGGGAGGGATAAAAAAATGAGAGATTGAAGAATAGAGAGATGTGCGCTGAAAGAAAAAGTGAAGAAAATGGCTTTTTCAGAAAAACAGAGCCTGAGGGCCGAGTGATGTGAGAATCACAAATGAGAAAGGGTGGGAAAAAAATACCCGGAGAAATTGGCTCCTCGTGCACCAAGAGGTCTCTTGCCTTTGTAACGCAACTGAGTGTGGTGTTTGTGTGTTTTTGTTTGTCTAGATTCTTGTTTTGAGTCGTTTGAGTGTCAATAGATGTGTTGAGGTTGTTTTTCCTTTGTTGAGTGGTGTTTAGGTTGTTCCACCTTTGTTTTCCGTTGTTGAGTCGTTGTGGCTGTGGTCAATTGTAGGCTCAATACCCGGTTGAGAACCCTTTTCTCATTTCAATTTCAAAAATGAATCGTTTTGTGCTCAGAGTGCCGTGCCGTTCTCTACATTTGTGCAAAACAAGATTTTGTTCTTTCAAAAACCGCAGGGTTCAACCCGGGTCATGTGGGAACAGTAAACCAGGACCTATCTGAAGCTATGAAAGTTCTGGGCTGCAAAGCAAAAGAAAAGAGGAAAAATTTGGAGCATCTTAGCATGTTTCAACTTTAGCAAAATCCGAGACTGCATTCTAGGTGCACCTTCTCAGGCCTCGCTGTTTCTCTGCAGTATGAGTGTATCTCGACCCCAAGTGTAAGCCTGCTTCAAGTCAGAATGGCAGTCCAAGCAGCACCCAAGGGTTTCACATGCAGATGTTATCTCTCGCCAATATGAACAGGGTCTGCCCTTTTTGAGCTGAGTGTGTTGCGAAGTCCTCTAAGAGGCAAATCAGGGCAGCAGAGTACATATTTGATGCTCCTCTATTGCATAGAATGTGAACTTTCATATACACTGTTGTTGCATGCGTGCCGCGCATCGTTATGATTCATGCATAGAATATGCTTGCTTTCGATTCCGCATAGAATATGCTTTGCTTGTCTCATACGTAGAATATGCTTTCAATATTGCATAGAATGTGCTTCCATACTTGCATAGAAAATGCTCGTATCTGTTCACTACTACAAAAATAGTTAAAGATCACACTTTGATAAAAAAAAAAGATCTCACTTTTATTGGAAGTGTGATAAAAAAAATTAGATTGACATTTTAATCGCACTTAATTTGATTGAGTGTGATAATATTTATTTTTTATGTCACTTTTCAATTAAGTGTGATTATATATATATATTTTTAATCACACCTTCTAATTAAAGTGTGATTATATATACACTATTACTTTTTAATCACACTTTTTAAACAAGTGTGATTATATATATATTTTTTTTAATCACACATTCTAATTAAAGTGTGATTATTTATATATATTTTTAATCACACCTTTTAATTACAAGTCAACAGGTGACTCAACACTCCACTCAAAAAACAAAAAACAAAAATGTCTAATCAACCTGGTTTGTCTGTCTTTTCATCTTGAATTTGTTCTTAACAATCCTACCACAAACATGGATTATTATTCTAAGCATAATGGGACCATGAATGTGGTTGGCTACATAATCCCCGATAGGGAAATTTAGGGAAAAGCTAATGGGGATGACATTGACAGCATATCTAAGGTTGGTCAATCTTGAGGGTTTTTTATTCACCTAAGGAAAGGAAATCTGTATTAGTAATATATTCAAGTTTTTAACTTTCTTTTAGGATTTTGTTTTGAACCTCTATTGGGATATCATGGGCAAAAGCTTTGAGTATTGGATATATTATCTCATTATTGTTAAAAAAAGTTGTCATGTAAAAGATTTTCTTCCAATCTATGTGCAATATGAAGGAAAAATAATATATTACATACTTACATGCAAAGTTTTTGTTTTTTTGACAATTAAACAATTAAAAGTAGCAATTATTTACATGCCAAGTTTATGTCATAATTGCAAATGTGATGAGTTTCAGACATCTTAAAATATGCACATTAATTTATTTTTATTAATTAGTAGTTTGTGTGTGGTGTTGTGTTGCAGTCATTACTGGTGGACTTGATTCAAAGCTTGTGATGTGGGATTTCTCCAAAGGACGCCCACAAAAACTTGTTGACTTTGGTACAAGTCTTAATCCTTTTTTCTCCTTGTGTGCTCCTTGTTATTCTTTGTGTGAACTAATTATATTTAGGTTTGCTTCCACTGAGTTAGTGGCCTTCAGAAAAATTTAGGTTCGAAATGCTAGCATGGATGTGATCTTTTTGTGCTTCCAGCTTTGGAAAGACATTGCCCAATTTTATGTCAATTTGTTCTATTTAAATTCTTGTCAATATTAAAAAATTGTGTTTCTCTATCCAAAGGATCCTGATCAACAGAATATATTGGTCATGAAAGTTTGGTAGGTAGTATTTTTTTTTTTTATCAAAGGCTTGTAGTTATTATCAAAAATCTTTAAAGTCGGAAATTAAATTTGTAGTATATCAAAAGGATATGCAGTGACATAACAATTAATTTTTTGGGTGGTGGATGGCAGTCTAGGATTTTGCGTAACGCATTATTCACGATCACAGTAGTATAACTTCATTAATGATTAAGTATTACACCTCATTCAACATCTTTGATAGACTTGCCTTGGTGTTTGTTTTATTTTCTATGGAAACAAATAGGGTATTAATATGGTCTTAATGGTCAGATAGATTGACTTAAGTACTCTTGCCATCTTTTCTTTCATTCAGGTGTGCCTGCCGCAGACAACGTAGGTAGTGCAGGACAATGCTTGAATCATGCATTTGTCCATGCAATAGCCGTTCCTGAAGTTGATATGGTAGATAGATTAGGCAAGGTATGTGTCGTAGTTAGAGGCGATGGTATTGTTGATGTGATCGATATTGAATCAGAACTTGCTGTTATTAAGTCGAAAAGTTCTTTAAAACCCCAGAAAGGCACTCAATGAAAAGCAAAAGGAATGCCTCATCTGCAAATGCTGGAACCCAAGATCAGAATGAGCGAAAGAAATTCAGTTTCGATTACACTTTGGAAGGGCACACTTTTGCAGCATCGTGTGTGTAAGTAATTTTAATAGATCAATTACCAAAATTTGATTGCTCATTAATGTTCGTATAATTCAATTAGGGCATTTTCAATGTTTGGGGTGAAAGGAAAGTATATAATTTCTGGTGGAAATGATAGATTGGTGAAGGTTTGGGATTGGTCCAGATATTTGGATGCTACTCAAACTAGCAGCAACAGTGATCTGTTACATTTGAGCATTAGTTTGAGCATGAAAGTGAGTTTATCCTGTATTTTTCTTTTTCACTGTCTTGGTTGTCGGTTTATTAATTATGTGTTCTTATTTACCGTATAAGTTTCTCACCACTCACCTTGTATACCTGGTCAGGTCAAATTGGCTCTGTACCACTCTAGTGGACTCAGACAACCTTATTGTCTGCGACACATCAAAAGTGGTGAAGGTTTATACTGTTGTGTAGATCATTGCACAGTTGTTGACTCTAGATTAGTTTACCATAAAGCAACGCTTATTTGGGTATACTACAACGTTATTTTTTTGTAAAATGTAAGGTTGTGAAGAATGTGTTTTTATTTCTTTGCATTTCAGTGTTTGGAACTTGAGCACATCTTGGCTATTTATATAATTTCTCAACTGGGGTAACTGTTCTTGAGAAACATAATTGCACTACCTTTTGTTTCAGGCACATGGAGGACCCTCAGGACCATGATGCCTGTAGGCCTATCAGAGTTAAGTGAAATAGGTCGGCCCTTTTTAATCTGAGCAGAATGTACATTCAAACGATCTAGGTATCTGTTATGTTTTTGAATCATAAATTTGGAACCCTGAAGTCAAATCATGGTTTAAACATTAGTGTTGTATGATGGAAGGGATGGAACTTTATCGGTTAGTCTAAATTTTTGTATCTTAGTGATTGCAACCAGTTAATGCATGGCAGATCAAAACTAAATGTTGTTGTCTACTGTAATTAATAGAAGAATTTTTCCATATTTCAAATGCTAGCTATATTGCTGAGAGTTTGGATCTGAAATGCTTTAATTTTCCACATTTGGAGAGAAATTATAAAGTCTTGCGAATATGATTTCGTTGTTTATTGGAGATTAGGGAGATTGTCCATAAAATTAAGTGATAAATTGAAGTTGCGTTGTTTGGTTACGTTGATTTTCTAGTGAAGAAAGAGGCTATGATGAACAACCGTTGACTGTTAATTTGGACCTGAAGCTTACACTATTCCTGGAGTTCAAAACCTATATTGTATTCTTGTTAATGTTTCAAAAATGGATGTTCAAAAACGTTATTGATGTTAATTTATTCAGTGTTGATCTCATGTTCTTTAATGGTTTTGTCTAAGACAGACAGGGTATCTGCTATGCATTGCCATTTTTAACAGTAGATACATAAGAGGCCTTTTTCCATAGAAATATTTCAATGATAAGTCTGTTCCTGCCTTAGGTGAGCTTGTCATCATCAGATTTACTTCAAGTTTTCTATGAAATTTAAGTTCTCATTGGTGAATATATTTGAACAATCATGAAATTATGAACAGAGATGAAGATCAAGAAGCTTATTTGTCATTAACTATGTACAGATGTGTGACTTTTTTAGTGATATATTATACTTTCTGGTTTTAAATAAATATCTGACTTTTTTTTTTCAAAACTTTTACATATAGTATGTAAAAAATGCTCATAGCCTATATTAGTCTGCATTCAAGGGTGGTGGGAAGAATGGACTAGTTATGTATCAAACCCAACCTTTGGCATTGTTTGCATGAAGTGGCTGCCCTCAGATTATAATCTATAGTCCAAGCATTTACCATTCCACAAAGCAATTTTCCATATATGTGGTATCTACGTATGTGTATACAAACAATGTAAAAGCATACATACCTGTATACAAGCAGTGTAAAAGCATACATGAATGAAATGGTAGGTCTGTCCCAGAACTTCCAGAATTCATGTCAAATTGAATATAGATTGAGTTGTGATCACTGTAGCACATATACAAAGAATGAGCATGAGATACATATATTACTCAACAATGTTACGGTAGGGGTTGGCATAGAATGCTCAGTTAGAAGATAGAATGTGATAGATTTAATTGACAATTATAGGTCATCCTTCTCTTTATGAAATGGAACATACTTTCACTCTTGGCAGTATGCTCTTATTGATTTGGAATGTTCATGCAGTGACCAATATCTGACCAGCAGGCAATTTTTTCTGAATTTTTTTGTTTGCTTTTTATTTAAACTCTAATTAGGTTGAAGAATGAGAGATTGTTGAAACTTGCTATCGTAAAGGACTAATACGTGTCTTAATTGCTACATCTACTTTGGCTGCTGGGGTTAACCTACCTCCCATGAGAGTCATGTTTCGACAACCCTGGATTGGTCGTGATTTTATTGACGGGACAAGGTACAGACAGATGGCTGGTAGGGCTAGTCGGACTGGAATAGATACGAAGAGGGAGAGTGTATGTTTATTTACTTCGTGCATGATTATCACTTCCTCTTGGCACTGTTTTGGTTCTTGGTATATGTATACGTCAATCTGTTGTTTTCAGTTGGAATGCTGTTAGGTGCTCATATAGTTATATCCTTTTTTTTATGTTGTTCATGCAAGTTTTGGTCAAAGATACCTTTAATAATGCAGATTTGTTTTCTTAAACAAATCAGTATTCTAGCTTTAATTCTGATTTTGATCATTTTTATGATTTCATCTAACCAGGTTCTACTTTGCAAACCAGAAGATGTCAAAAGAATTATAGGAATTCTTAATGACAGCTGTCCACCGCTGCATTCTTGTCTTTCTGAAGATAAGAATGGGATGACCCATGCAATCTTAGAAGTTGTCGCTAGTGGAATTGTTCAAACTGCCAATGATATTTATCGATATGTGAGGTGTACTCTTCTCAATTCTACAAAGCCATTTGAAGATGTAGTGAAGTCAGCACAGGATTCTCTCAGATGGTTATGCGATAGAAAATTTATTGAATGGAGTGAAGACACTAAGGTATACAGCACCACACCTCTTGGACGTGCATCTTTTGGCAGTTCTCTCTGCCCTGAAGAATCACTTGTATATATTTACACCTCCATTCTTTCTTTTCATTTTTTTTTCCTTCTTTTTCTTTAATATCATGTGCTTCTGGTATCAATGCATTATTGAACATACTGATCTTGAATGGATGAATTAAGGAATTGTTGACTTTAATTATGTATTTTTATACTTTATATATTTTAATTTTTTTCTAGATTATACTGGATGACCTTTCAAGGGCTAGAGAAGGATTTGTGCTTGCATCTGATTTGCATTTAGTATACTTAGTTACACCCACCAATGTTGAAGTTGAGCCAGATTGGAAATTATACTATGAAAGATTCATGCAATTGTCTACTCTTGACCAGGTAAGCTTGTTTCTCATCACCATTGGGCTTCTGTAGTCCCAGTTGACATGTTCATTCTTGAATACTAATTGCTAAGTTTGCAGAATGTGTGGCTTAAGCTTCAGTTTTTCCTTTTAGTTCGTTTAATTTATTACAAGCAGACCTTACCTGACAGTAAGATTGGAGCTAGTCATATGGTTATATGGCATTGACAATTTCCAAGAAATGTTATGCATTTCTGCTTGTATCTCAGTGTATACATGTATGTACTTATGTATTGAGGCAAACCATAAGCAGTTGTCATTGAGGGTTAGTTGAGTTAATTTGTGTATGCATAAATGTATAGCTATGTCAATCAAAATTGTCTGCTGGTATTTTATTGTTTAAAATGATAAAGAGGGAATTGTCGTGGACACATAATATCATTTGCAAGATGTTATGTCTGTCCCAATTTGGTGTTTTAATTCCTTTTTGGTTGAGTCCTGAGAAATGGGGTGCCAACACACGGAGTGCACATTTTATACACAGGGGGGCCTTATGGTGTGGCAACTGACATAAATGCTTTATGAACTCTCTTTCACTATTTTTTCCCTATGACTTAATGCACATAGATACCTCAACTTCTAGTTTTGAAAACACCGTGAACTGGACAAATTGATTGTTTGGATCAGCGTTCCGATTTCAAATGTGGCAATTTTGTGATGATCTCTCTCTCTCTCTCTCTCGACCATCAGGTGATTTGATACTTGTCATGCCTTGCGTCCTGTTTATTTATTTATTACAAATTTTTATACAAATGAATGTTTGTTAGTGTTAGTTTTCAGGGGCTTATCTCAGTTCTGAGGGAAATCTCCTATTCTAGTTTATATTGTAACTCGTCTTTTGGTCTAATAGTTTATGTGGTTATTGAGGTGCTTATTACTAATTATTTAATTTCATGAAATGCAGTCGGTTGGCAAACAAGTAGGAGTGCTAGAACCCTTTTTAATGCATATGGCCCATGGTGCACCACTGCGCACTTCAAACAGATCTGACTGCAGAGTTGGGATGGCAAACCAAAGTATGCTTTCAGATGAGCAAACACTTAGAGTGTGCAAGCGCTTCTATATTGCTATCATCTTGTCAAGACTTGTGCAGGTGAATGCCTTGTTATACGTGTCATGAATACTGGCCTGTTCTAGTTCATTTCTTCTCCCCCACATCAAAAACTACCTGCAAACACACACACTCAAAACGGATAAAGTTGAATTGCAAGATCTGAACTTCTGTCATCGTATCATTCCATACCTTATCTGTGCTCAATAGAGACAATTTCTGTGTTGATATGCATATGCTTTTATTTGGTTGAAGATGTCCAATTTGCATATATTCACATCTTCTTTTACTGTTCTCATTTTCAACCCGTCTGTTCATAGAAAGACATAATGCCATTACCTCTTTCAACCTAGTCCTATATATAAATTCATCTCCTATTGATGTGTTTGGTCTGATCTATTTAATTGCTTTATGCATGTGGAGTGGTTTTAATTGCTTAACTAACTTGCATTTATTTACTTTTCGTGATATATTCTTTTCATACTGGTCTAAAGGAAGTACCTGTGGCTGAGGTTTGTGAGGCCTTAAAAGTGGCACGAGGCATGGTTCAGGCCTCACAAGAAAATGCTGGAAGGTTTGCTTCTATGGTTTCTGTGTTTTGTGAGAGGCTTGGTTGGCATGATCTGGAAGGTTTGGTTTCCAAATTCCAAAATCGTGTTTCATTTGGAGTCCAAGCGGAGATTGTAGAGCTTACCGCCATTCCATATGTTAAGGTTGTATACATGAATCATTTAATATTTTTCTGTCTTTAAAATCTTTTTGTGACGCTTGGAATTAATTGGAACTTATGACCTTAATATCCAAACAGACTTGAATTGATGTTTGGTTGAAAACTTCATTAGCAACCTAGTTAAGTTAATGATTTTCCTCATTGAAGAGATTATTTTTATTGTTTATTACTGCCAAGATTATCATTAATTCATTATTGTTATTTCTCCTTATTAGGGTTCCCGAGCTAGACAACTTTATAAAGCTGGCCTGCGCACACCTCAAGCAATTGCTGTAGCATCAATATCTGAAATTGTAAAGGCACTTTTTAAATCTTCATCATGGGTTGCACAAGGTGAAATCTTGTGTTTGTGTGTGGACTTTTTTGGCATGGATTATTCAATTTAACGTTGTGAACATATAATAGGACAGTATGTAGTATCGCCAGGCACATGCATTCTCTTGTGCTTCCTTTGCTTGCTTCTAAATATAGTATCATCATATGTTTTAGTTGTTTCTTAGACCTTTCACTTCTCCTCTGTTATATCATTATATTTTCTTCCTCCACTTCTTTTATTTGGACCACATTCCTCCAGTTCATATCCTCTGATTTTGACTATTTGCCTACATGACTATCGAAGATTTAGCATAACGACGGATTCAATTGGGGGTAGCCAAGAAGATAAAGAATGGTGCACGCAAAATTGTTCTTGATAAAGCTGAAGAGGCAAGGGTTGCTGCCTTCACAGCTTTCAAATCTCTTGGACTTGATGTTCTCCAGTTACCTCAACCTGTATTAAAGGCTGCTGGTGATGCCACTCAAAAAGAGGTGTAGACACCCCATTTTTGACCGTCCTCAAGACTTGGACGTCACCATTTGAATACTTGGTGATTATCCATGTTTGTGTTCGTTTGGAGTTCCCGGAGGTCTCGGCTCGCGCGCCTTGCCTCAAGATCTCCGAACATGACTGTTTAGTGTCTAGTTTCACACCAAACATTTGTGTTTTGCCTTTGAGAGGCAGGGTAGGGCTTGTAGACCATCCCCACCCACCACCGGCAGTGGCTAGAGGCCACCGGCTGGTTTTTGCTGCCACCGGCAATGTATATTGCCGGCCGGCACTACTACTACCTCCACTATCTTTCTCCACACCTACCACCTCCACTATCACACACTCCACTACCATCTTCTCCTCTATATATAGGAATTGTAATATACAGAATAATATCAATCTTGTAATCTATCAATCAAACATCAATCAATAATACATCAATTTTAACAACAAGCAGTGTAAAAGCATACATGAATGAAATGGTAGGTCTGTCCCAGAACTTCCGGAATTCATGTCAAATTGAATATAGATTGAGTTGTGATCACTGTAGCACATATACAAAGAATGAGCATGAGATACATATATTACTCAACAATGTTACGGTAGGGGTTGGCATAGAATGCTCAGTTCGAAGATAGAATGTGATAGATTTAATTGACAATTATAGGTCATCCTTCTCTTTACGAAATGGAACATACTTTCACTCTTGGCAGTATGTTCTTATTGATTTGGAATGTTCATGCAGTGACCAATATCTGACCAGCAGGCAATTTTTTCTAAATTTTTTTGTTTGCTTTTTATTTAAACTCTAATTAGGTTGAAGAAAGAGAGATTGTTGAAACTTGCTATCGTAAAGGACTAGTACGTGTCTTAATTGCTACATCTACTTTGGATGCTGGGGTTAACCTACCTCCCAGGAGAGTCATGTTTCGACAACCCTGGATTGGTCGTGATTTTATTGACGGGACAAGGTACAGACAGATGGCTGGTAGGGCTAGTCGGACTGGAATAGATACGAAGGGGGAGAGTGTATGTTTATTTACTTCGTGCATGATTATCACTTCCTCTTGGCACTGTTTTGGTTCTTGGTATATGTATACGTCAATCTGTTGTTTTCAGTTGGAATGCTGTTAGGTGCTCATATAGTTATATCCTTTTTTTTATGTTGTTCATGCAAGTTTTGGTCAAAGATACCTTTAATAATGCAGATTTGTTTTCTTAAACAAATCAGTATTCTAGCTTTAATTCTGATTTTGATCATTTTTATGATTTCATCTAACCAGGTTCTACTTTGCAAACCAGAAGATGTCAAAAGAATTATGGGAATTCTTAATGACAGTTGTCCACCGCTGCATTCTTGTCTTTCTGAAGATAAGAATGGGATGACCCATGCAATCTTAGAAGTTGTCGCTAGTGGAATTGTTCAAACTGCCAATGATATTCATCGATATGTGAGGTGTACTCTTCTCAATTCTACAAAGCCATTTGAAGATGTAGCGAAGTCAGCACAGGATTCTCTCAGATGGTTATGCCATAGAAAATTTATTGAATGGAGTGAAGACACTAAGTTATACAGCACCACACCTCTTGGACGTGCATCTTTTGGCAGTTCTCTCTGCCCTGAAGAATCACTTGTATATATTTACACCTCCATTCTTTCTTTTCATTTTTTTTTCTTCTTTTTCTTTAATATCATGTGCTTCTGGTATTAATGCATTATTGAACATACTGATCTTGAATGGATGAATTAAGGAATTGTTGACTTTAATTATGTATTTTTATACTTTATATATTTTAATTTTTTTCTAGATTATACTGGATGACCTTTCAAGGGCTAGAGAAGGATTTGTGCTTGCATCTGATTTGCATTTGGTATACTTAGTTGAAAGATTCATGCAATTGTTTACTCTTGACCAGGTAAGCTTGTTTCTCATCACCATTGGGCGTCTGTAGTCCCAGTTGACATGTTCATTCTCGAATACTAATTGCTAAGTTTGCAGAATGTGTGGCTTAAGCTTCAGCTTTTCCTTTCAGTTTGTTTAATTTATTACAAGCAGATCTTACCTGACAGTAAGATTGGAGCTAGTCATATGGTTATATGGCATTGACGATTTCCAAGAAATGTTATGCATTTCTCCTTGTATCTCAGTGTATACATGTATGTACTTCTGTATTGAGGCAAACCATAAGCAGTTGTCATTGAGGGTTAGTTGAGTTAATTTGTGTATGCATAAATGTATTGCTATGTCAATCAAAATTGTATGCTGATATTTTATTGTTTAAAATGATGAAGAGGGAATTGTCGTGGACACATAATATCATTTGCAAGATGTTATGTCTGTCCCAATTTGGTGTTTTAATTCCTTTTTGGTTGAGTCCTGAGAAATGGGGTGCCAACACACGGAGTGCACATTTTATACACAGGGGGGCCTTATGGTGTGGCAACTGACATAAATGCTTTATGAACTCTCTTTCACTATTTTTTCCCTATGACTTAATGCACATAGATACCTAAACTGCTAGTTTTGAAAACACCCTGAACTGGACAAATTGATTATTTGGATCAGCGTTCCGATTTCAAATGTGGCAATTTTGTGATGATCTCTCTCTCTCTCGACCATCAGGTGATTTGATACTTGTCATGCCTTGCGTCCTGTTTATTTATTTATTACAAATTTTTATACAAATGAATGTTTGTTAGTGTTAGTTTTCAGGGGCTTATCTCAGTTCTGAGGGAAATCACCTATTCTAGTTTATATTGTAACTCGTCTTTTGGTCTAATAGTTTATGTGGTTATTGAGGTGCTTATTACTAATTATTTAATTTCATGAAATGCAGTCGGTTGGCAAACAAGTAGGAGTGCTAGAACCCTTTTTAATGCGTATGGCCCATGGTGCACCACTGCACACTTCAAACAGATCAAGGGATAATGCAAAAGGGTTGTTAGGCAGATCTGACTGCAGAGTTGGGATGGCAAACCAAAGTATGCTTTCAGATGAGCAAACACTTAGAGTGTGCAAGCGCTTCTATGTTGCTATCATCTTGTCAAGACTTGTGCAGGTGAATGCCTTATTATACGTGTCATGAATACTAGCCTGTTCTAGTTTCTTTCTTCTCCCCCACATCAAAAACTACCTGCAAACACACACACTCAAAACGGATAAAGTTGAATTGCAAGATCTGAACTTCTGTCATCGCATCATTCCATACCTTATCTGTGCTCAATAGAGACAATTTTTGTGTTGATATGCATATGCTTTTATTTGGTTGGAGATGTCCAATTTGCATATATTCACATCTTCTTTTACTGTTCTCATTTTCAACCCGTCTGTTCATAGAAAGACATAATGCCATTACCGCTTTCAACCTAGTCCTATATATAAATTCATCTCCTATTGATGTGTTTGGTCTGATCTATTTAATTGCTTTATTCATGTGGAGTGGTTTTAATTGCTTAACTAACTTGCATTTATTTACTTTTCGTGATATATTCTTTTCATACTGGTCTGAAGGAAGTACTTGTGGCTGAGGTTTGTGAAGCCTTTAAAGTGGCACGAGGCATGGTTCAGGCCTCACAAGAAAATGCTGGAAGGTTTGCTTCTATGGTTTCTGTGTTTTGTGAGAGGCTTGGTTGGCATGATCTGGAAGGTTTGGTTTCCAAATTCCAAAATCGTGTTTCATTTGGAGTCCGAGTGGAGATTGTAGAGCTTACCGCCATTCCATATGTTAAGGTTGTATACATGAATCATTTAATATTTTTCTGTCTTTAAAATCTTTTTGTGAGGCTTGGAATTAATTGGAACTTATGACCTTAATATCCAAACGGACTTCAATTGATGTTTGGTTGAAAAATTCATTAGCAACCTAGTTAAGTTAATGATTTTCCTCATTGAAGAGATTATTTTTATTGTTTATTACTGCCAAGATTATCATTAATTCATTATTGTTATTTCTCCTTATTAGGGTTCCCGAGCTAGACAACTTTATAAAGCTGGCTTGCGCACACCTCAAGCAATTGCTGTAGCATCAATATCTGAAATTGTAAAGGCTCTTTTTGAATCTTCATCATGGGTTGCACAAGGTGAAATCTTGTGTGTGTGTGTGGACTTTTTTGGCATGGATTATTCAATTTAACGTTGTGAACATATAATAGGACAGTATGTAGTATCGCCAGATACATGCATTCTCTTGTGCTTCCTTTGCTTGCTTCTAAATATAGTATCATCATATGTTTTAGTTGTTTCTTAGACCTTTCACTTCTCCTCTGTTATATCATTATATTTTCTTCCTCCACTTCTTTTATTTGGACCACATTTCTCCAGTTCATATCCTTTGATTTTGACTATTTGCCTACATGACTATCGAAGATTCAGCACAACGACGGATTCAATTGGTGCACGCAAAATTGTTCTTGATAAAGCTGAAGAGGCAAGGGTTGCTGCCTTCACAACTTTCAAATCTCTTGGACTTGATGTTCCCCAGTTACCTCAACCTATATTAAAGGCTGCTGGTGATGCCACTCAAAAAGAGGCTGACTACCTCTTCTGGGGAAGAGAGTACTAGTAGCTTTGTTGGTGTACAGCATACAGAGCATGTTTCAGCCAAGTCATGGTAGAGGTATTTAATGTTAAGACATTTGAAGGGGTGTGATTAGTTAGACTTTATCTTTTGTAAGACTAGAATAATCTCTACAAATAGTTAGTTTATTCATGTGCTTCTAGTGGTTTCTGAATTAATTTGTGTTTTTATTTTTCAGGTTAGAAATTTCTTGGAGAGATGCAAAATATGGTTAAAGAATTCAAGGACTTAATTTTTAAGTTTTTTTTTTTTTTAATATATGTAAGTACAGTTTAAATTTTTTTATTTAATTCATTTGTATATATTTTTGAACATATTTAACTTTCATTTATGAAATATATGACTTTATTCCATTGAATATGTGGTTATGATTCAAAGTATAGTATATAGTGTGTATTACATTCTTGAAATGCGCGTACAAAAATAATATTGATTATTCTTCAAATATGCCGAATCTTTTTAGTAATTAATCACACTTAAAAGATGTGATATAAATATTATTAATCACACTTAAAAGATGTGATCTAAAGTTTATTATCACAGGTTTTATTAGTTTTTAATTACACTAAAAAGATGTGATCTAAATATTTTTAATCACACTTAAAAGATGTGATATAAATGTTATTAATCACACTTAAAAGATGTGATGTAAATGTTTTTAATCACACTTAAAAGGTGTTATCTAAAGTTTATTAGCACATGTTTTAAATGTTTTTAATCACACTTAAAAGGTGTGATCTAAATGTTTTTAATCACACTTAAAAGGTGTGATCTAAAGTTTATTATCACAGGTTTTAAATGTTTTTAATCACACTTAAAAGGTGTGATCTAAATGTTTTTAATCACTTAAAAGGTGTGATTAAAAATGACCCATTTTAATCACACTCCCAAAGATCACACTTTAATAAAACTTAAAAGGTGTGATTAAATAACAAATATCACACAAAAAAAGTGTGATCTTTATTAGTTTTTGTAGTAGTGGTTGCGTAGAAAATGCCCCCATACTTGCATAGAAGATGCATTTTATCGCACTGTCTTGTACACTTACACTTTGTATCTCACTAGCACTGTCTTGTGCATCTTGTGGTTGTATCTCACTCACACTATCTTGTGCATTTCAAATCACTCGCGCTGTTTAGCGTATCGCACTGTTTAGTGCATTTCAAATCACTCGCGCTGTTTAGCGTATCGCACTGTTTAGTGCCTTTCAAATCACTCGCGCTGTTTAGCGTATCGCACTGTTTAGTGCATTTCAAATCAATCGCGCTGTTTTGCGTATCGCACTGTTTTGTGCAGTTTACATTCGCACTATTTTGTGCAGTTTACATTCACGCTATTTTGCGCACCTCAATCGCACTGTTTTGTGCAGTTTATCATTCGCGCTATTTTGCGCATCGCACTGTTTTGTGCAGTTTACATTCGCGCTATTTTGCGCATTGCACTGTTTTGTGCAGTTTATCATTCGCGCTATTTTGCGCACCTCAATCGCACTGTTTTGTGCAGTTTACATTCGCGCTATTTTGCGCATCGCACTGTCCTGTGCATTGCATATCACATCGCGCTATTTTGCGCACCTCTCCACACTTGTTAGTGCATTGCGTCGCGCTATGTTGCGCACCTTATCTGTATCGCATTGTTTTGTGCATTCACCCTGCTCGTACTGTTTTGTACACCTTTAGCATCGCACGATTTTGTGCATCTGTTTAGCACTGTTTTGTGCATTCACTCTACATCGCACTGTCTTGTGCACATTGTATTTTTGTATCATTCGCACTGTCTTGTGCACTTTCTGGTCTAGGAGACCTTAAATCCTCTAAAGGTGCAATTCTTTTGGTGTTTGTCGTGCCCGAACGACTTCCGGTGGTCTGGTATAGCCACCTGCCTGTGTTTGCGGTGAGTTTCTAGGAGACCAACTGAGACGGTGGAAACTAGAGTTCAAATGGCTCGTGCCTAGAACGCAAAGGTTCGGGATTTCCGAGACTAAAGTCTGGTTTAAATACCCAGGGGTTTATCCTCGACTTGAAATCTGTATGGCAACCGTATAGATTGAGATAGCATGTGTATGCGCCTCAATTCTGGATACCGAATCAACCTAATCTGTCACCTTGTTGGAGAATAGGGAAAGCTGCGACCATAGCCAGGGAGAAAAGTAGTACCTGTGGTTCAACCAAGAAGCGAAAGATCCCCAGCAGCATGAGGTAAGTCATTGCCAATTGCTCCTGTAAGGTACCTCCATTTTCCTAGCTATCACATTACATTTTAGTCATTACAGTGCATTGCGTAAATCCTGAATTATTAAACCGGCTTCGCGTAACGTATAAGTCCAATTATCAAAATCTTCCTGCATAACATTTTGCATTCCGGCGTCTTAAACTGTTGCATTTATTATATATGTTTGCTTCGTTACAGCTTTCTTTGCATGATCAGAAGTTAGGTCCAGCTTTGTGCATGTCTTTTGCATTTTTGCCCCTGCCTGCGAGCACATCTCTTTGATTATCTCGCTTGTTTGTCTAAGTCTTCGGCCTTGTCAAAAATGGGTCGTCTCTGGGCTTTGACATTCACTCCCGTCACTTATGACTTTCGAGTTCTGTTAAAGAGGGGCAACTGTAGACACCCCATTTTTGACCGACCTTAAGACTCAGACGTCATCGATTGAGCGCTTGGTGATGGTGCATGTTGTGCTCGTTCTGAGGTTTCGGAGTTTCGGCCGAGAGCCTTACCCCCGGACTTCGAGACTCTTCTGTGTTTTGCCTCGGTTTGCGAACCAGGTTCTGTTTTCTCCTGTCAAATGGAGGGAGAGGTCTCGTAAACCATCTCTCAGTGGCCGTAGGCTACTTTTTGTGGTCGTAGACCACTGTTCCCGTTTGTAGACCAGTTTTTGATTTTCAGAGCCGTCGACCGTGTGCCTCGGTTTGGGACCGCTTAACTACCTCCGTTTGCTCCGATTTTTGGCACACACCTTGTTTCCTCTCTTTAGAGGGACACTGCGGCCTGGGAGACCACCTTTGTGGTCGCACGCCACCTTTGATGCTTAACAGTCAGTTTTTGGGGCACCCGGCTGCGCGTTTTGGCCCCCGAACCCTCGTTTTGCATCCGTCTTGGTTCATTTTTGGCATAGACCCTAGTTTCATTGTTAGGAAGGTGGTACAAGGGTGGGAGACCACCTTTTCTTCTTGGAGACCACCTTTCCCCGGTTGGCCGATTTTTCTTGACAGGTAAGTGGTATCCCTCACTTTTGAGCCACAATTTCTGGTCTCCCATACCACCATTGAGTTGTATTCACCTGGGAGACCACCAATATGGGTAAGCTGACCACCTTTTCAACTTGAACCTTTTGACCCTTGGTCGGTCAACCAGGGCAAGTGGTCGGCGGACCACTTGAACTGGTCGGCCAGCCTTCTGCTTTTTTGTCTCTTTGAGTGCTATCCAGCTATGCCAGCTGGGAGGCATTTGCCCCATCCTCCGAGGATTGACCCTCTTTTTTTGGCTTCTTAAAGAAGCTTGGTCCCTTTTGCTTAGCTTCTAAGAGAAGCTTGACCTTTTGTTGAGCTTCTTGAGGAAGCTTGACCCCTTTGGTCTAGCTTCCTCAAGAAGCTTGACCCTTTTGGTTTAGCTTCCTTTAGAAGCTTGGCCTCTTTGCTCCAAGCTTCTTAGAGAAGCTATAGACCTCCTCTTCTATAAGAGGGAGCCTCTCCCTCATGAGCCAAGGTTAAAATTTTTTGGCTAAGGCATATACATACACCTCTCTCTACCTCTCTACATCGAAGCTCCAAAGCTCCATTGTTCTTGCAACATTGCACTACACCTCCTATCCTAACACCACCACCATCACTCTAAGAACTTTGGAGCTAGTTTTCAAAGGTTGAAGGCTTACTATTTTGGTCCAGAAGCTGCTGGCTCTTTTGACTACAAGGGTAACTCTCATTTTTCCCCTTTTTAGCATTGTTTTGCTTCATATCTTAGCCTAGTTTGCAAGCATATTTGGGCTTTGTCATAAACTGAAAAAAGTCATATTTTGAGCTCCTCTTGAAGTTTGTTTAAGGTCATTTTTCTGTTAGGGGTCATCTACCCCCTTGCATGCTTGTTTTCACCTTGTTTTGAGCCATGCATCTAGGCCTTTCAAGTGAGCTTCATTTGGCCTTCTAGCAACTGAAATCCAGTGGATTTTCAGTGGCTAGCATACTGTTTTGAGCCCCAAAATCAGAGAGGGGTGACCATCTCACCCCTTGTTTTGTTTACTAGCATTGTTGGCCTAACAAAGGGGCCTATATTTACACACTTCTTGAGCATGTTTCAGGCCATTTTTTATGAGTTTTAGGACCTGCATCAACTCTGTCCAGAGTTTTTTTTTTCCATATTAGGTGTCTCTTATGCATGTGTAGAGTAATCCTCTTCAAGGCCTTCTAAAGGGGCCTTTACTTGCATGCTTCCTAGACTCATTTCAAGCCCGGCCATCATAACCTCTTTCCAGAGTTAGTTTTTCCATTTTGTGTGTCCATCATACATGTGTAGAACAACAATCTCATTGGCCTTTCAAAGGAACACTTCATTCTAACATGTGTTGACTGAGTTTCAGTGGATTTTTGGTCATATTTTGGCATGCCATGTTTTTTTTTTTGGCTGGTTTGGTGGCCCCTCATGTGCTTCATATACATGTAGTGTAAACCATGCTTACTAGCCTATGTTGCATGTTGTTTTGGCCCTTCATGTTAGCACTTTTTGGCCATGCCTTAAATTGATTTTGTGCATGTTTTGGACTGCCTTAACTCTATTTTTGGGTCTCATGGTCGAATGATGCTTGTTTTGCATGCTTGTAGTTCAATATCCATGCCTAGCTTTGAGATTTGAGGTCTATTGCATGCATATACTGAGATGTTTTCATGCTTTGCGGTCATTATACATCATATTTCAGAGCTTATATGAATTCCATATTCCCATGATTTCCACTCTTTAAACGTGTTTGAGAGTTGTGCATAAATGCCTCGTTTTCCGACCATTGCATGGGCTTCATTTGAATGCATTCCGAGCCATCATTTTAGACCAATTTCCCACTATCT